AAGAGTTTAACTATGGGAGCATGAAAATGAGTACGTGGATGGAAGAGTGTAAGCTAAGTGGGAAGCATGAAGTGAGAGTTGGCGCGGAAGAGTTAACTTAGTGGGAGCTTGAAGTGAGTAGTGTGCGGAAGAGTTAACTAGTGGGAGCATGAAGTGAGTAGCATGCTGTTCAAAGCATTAACTAGTGGGAGCTTGGTGTTGGTAGAAACTGTGTCTTATAAGCCGTGAAATACGATAATTGCGTCAGCAGTGGGGATTGTGCACACCTCTCGTTTCCATTCTTTAGTTATTTCTTATATCGGTTAAATTATCCACCAACCATTATTCATGCAAAACATCTGGATAAGAGAGGATTGGTATCATTTGCGATGCCGTGTCAGTACTTTGTCATGGTATGATATCATACATTCACATGAGTAGGTGCCAGTGTGTCTGAGAGAGGCTGTACAGACACCGTACTGGGTTCGTTGTATAATTATTCGCATTTAGTAAAGCTTGTACGTAGGGGAAGCAAGTATCGTTCAGTACCTTCTCCCGATTTAGTGGCGACCATATTTGGCTAGGAACTTGTCGTGTACAAGTGATGGTGACTAATGGTGGATGTGTGCGTGCGTTTCTCTGCATCGCAGGAACAACATGCTGAACTTTGGGCTCGTGTTTGAGACCGGCCTAGCTGCGTTCATGGCGTACTGCCCCGGACTGGACAAGGGACTCAACATGTACCCGATCGAGTGAGTATCGTGCGTGCGTAATTGCTAACACTGTGGGACGACAATAACTCTGCATGCCATTAGTGATGTGCGGCGGTTATGTCGCCTACATTATATCGCTGTTCATCAGTGGTCTGGATAACTCGCTGCCTCGATCCATTATTATTATTTTTGTCATCATCATCATCATCATCATTGTTCTTCGTCAGTTGCCATCTCTGTTAAACTTATCCTTACCAGTATTACTGCTGTTGCTGTTGTTAGCGATCGGGCGTGGTTGCCGCGATCGGGCTTGGCGTGGTTGCTGCGATCGGGCGTGGCATGGTTGCCGCGATCGGGCGTGGCATGGTTGCCGCCATCGAGCGTGGTTGCCGCAAACAAACATAGGGTTAATGATGCGATAGTGATTTGGTTTTTTTGTTTGTTTTTTAATTGCAACGCGCTGTCTTTGTTGTCGATTGATCGTTTAGTGGGCTATTCTCTGGTGACCGACTGTATTGCTTTATGCTGATTGGTATCAACAAATTTTTAAGGATTTTAGCAGTGTGTAATACTGTGTTGTAGTTTATCAATGAGAATGGTTTTTGCCTGCTAACGTGTTGTTAAAGTATGAAATTTATGTGCAGTAGTAGAGCAGATGCAAAGTCTGCCATGTTTCCTGGTTGTTGTTCAGGTACTACCAAGAGCTGACTCGCATTGGAAATGCGTCGGTCCGCCAAAGGTTCTAGTGATGTCAGAAAACTACTCGTGTGTGCAGTGTTGTGATCTGTGTTTCAAGTTTAATAGAAAAGTTTCGGAAAATACGTGCATGTGGTGTGGTGCATAAACCTGTGCACGCAATGAAAAAAATTGGTGATAGAACTTGGGATGTAGAAAGAGGGTCAAATTCATTTGCTTCGGGTAATTATGCGTCTTACTGAGGTATTTCCTTTTTATCAGCAGTGATGACAGTGAATCTCGAGTGAATTTTTGAATCAGAGAAGATGCTCTTGAACAAACTTGTCACTTCTCGCACTGAATTGCATGTGAACTTACTTCTTTGGAGTTTGCTGTCAAATTTCAATGGCTTCTGTCTATATTGTTGTTAGTCACTCGTACCTGTGAGTTACAGATGTGTGCAAGGCACTCTGAAGTGATTCTAATAATCAGCACAGTCACAGAACTTGTACTCACTTTGTTTCACCGTACTATTGTGCAGTTCAACGTCATTATTGTTTTCTCACGCAGATATGCTATTATTCTTTGACATTCAATCAGACAACTACCTATCTCTTCCTTCGTGATTGTAATTTTTTGGTAACTCTGGCTGTTGTTTTGAAAATTCGACGAGCAATAATGAGCACATGTCATCTTCTGATAGTAAGCCCGTCGTGGTCACGTGCTAGGATCGAGTTCGGGTCCACAATTTCGACGGTGACGTCCACTCGTTTTGAAAGTTGTCACGTCTTCGGCAGGTATCAAGGTGATCATGGTGACCGGCGACCACCCGATCACGGCCAAGGCGATCGCTAAGAGCGTCGGCATCATCTCCGAGGGCAACGAGACGGTAGAGGACATCGCCATGCGACTTGGAGTTCGTGTCGACGACGTCAATCCCAGGTGCGTCTCCGGGATCGATCCCGGGCGGGGATCGCAGCGATCGTTACGAGTTTTCTCTTATTGCGTTCCTTTTTTCGTACGGACATGTGCTTGTAGCTGTGTTTGTGTGTGCGTGCGTGCATGCGTGCGTGCGTGCGTGTGTGTGTGTGTGTGTGTGTGTGTGTGTGTGTGTGTGTGCGGACATGTGCTTGTAGCTGTGTTTGTGCGTGCGTGCGTGCGTGCGTGCGTGTGTGTGTGCAGACGTGCTTGTAGCTGTGTTTGTGTGTGAGGACATGTGCTTATATCTGTGTTTGTGTGTGTGCGTGCTTGCGTGTAGCTGTGATTGTGTGCATGCAAGTGTGTGAGCGTACGTGTATCTGTGTGTCTTCCTCCAACCACCTGTGTCTATGATGGTATCCTTGCAACTACCACCGTGTCTTTGCATGTCACGCGTGTTTACTGCCCTACGTCTGTGCGCGTAATGCCAACCTCTCGCTAACCACCGCTCCCGTCTTTCACAGGGACACGAACACGCATGTCATGTCTGTTTGCTGCCTCAGGTCTGCGCGCGTGATGCCCACCTCTCACTATCCACCGCTCCCGTCTTTCACAGGGACGCAAACCCGTGCATCGTGTGTTTACTGTTGTGCGTGCGATGCTAACCTCTCGTTAACATCTCGTTAATTAATAACCCCCCCTCTCCCCTGTCTCTCACAGGGATGCGAACGCGTGCGTCGTGCACGGCGTCAATCTGAAGGACATGACACCGGCGCAGATCGACGACATCCTCAACAGCCACTCCGAGATCGTGTTCGCGCGCACCTCGCCGCAGCAGAAGCTCATCATCGTCGAGGGCTGCCAGCGGCAGGGCGCCATCGTCGCGGTGACGGGCGACGGCGTCAACGACTCGCCCGCGCTGAAGAAGGCCGACATCGGCGTCGCGATGGGCATCTCCGGCAGCGACGTCAGCAAGCAGGCCGCCGACATGATCCTGCTCGACGACAACTTTGCGTCGATCGTCACCGGCGTCGAGGAGGGCCGCCTCATCTTCGACAACCTGAAGAAGTCGATCGCGTACACGCTGACGAGCAACATCCCCGAGATCTCGCCGTTCCTGCTCTTCATTGTGCTCGACATCCCGCTGCCGCTCGGCACGATCACGATTCTGTGCATCGACCTCGGCACCGACCTCGTGCCGGCGATCTCGCTCGCGTACGAGGAGGCGGAGAGCGACATCATGAAGCGGAAGCCGCGAGACCCGCTGCACGACAAGCTGGTGCGTCACGCTGTAATTTCCGTCTGCGGCGAATCGCGCGTTCACGATGGCGAGATAGCAATTACGTTGCCGTCGGCGACAAACCTTATGGTTTGCTTTACAGCCCGCGATGAGTTCAATTCGCTATGAGAGTAATTAAGTTACCGCACGTAATTGTTACATTATTGTTAACAGTAACCTTATGTGTCGTGTCATGCTGTTTACAGTGAAGTCGTAGTTAGGTTACTACTCACGACTTATTGGTGAGTTACGTTATGGTTCGATAATTTAGGTTATTGCGCATGAGAGGTTACTGGTTAAGCTACTGCTCACAAGAAGCTCAGAAAAACGCACGAGGGCTCTCCAATAACTATCTATTCGGATTGAATACACACGGCTGTGTGTGAACTGCATTGATGTTTGTTGCTGTATTGTTCGTTGTTATAGTTGTTGTTTGTAGCTGTTGCTACAGTTGCTGTTTGTTGCTGTATTGTTCGTTGTTATAGTTGTTGTTTGTAGCACACCGCCCGCACAAACAGTTGAAACAGCTGCATTGTGTGTGCTCTGTGAAACCAACCTAAAGGCCTTAGTCCACATATAATCAAAGACAACCCTGCACCATTTACGTAATGCTAACTACTGCCGTTTCCGTCTTCTTTTCGCTATGTATCTCCCGCGCATAAGCTGTAATACCTAAAATAATGAATTGCTTGGTCTGGAGGCCAGTATGCGCCGGTTTATGTTAACGGCCACTATATTAATATAGGGCAAACAAAGCTTGGAAAATTAATGTTGTTAAAGAATCGAACTGGAGACTAAAAGCCAAAGAGGCACTACTGTCTCGTTAAAAACGGGCAACTGTTGAAATGTTTAGACAGTATGCTACGGGTGAACTGGCGTAACAGGGGAGTTTTAAAGGTATATCGTGATAGTTGACAAAGTCCTGTGTTTTGTAAGCCTGTCTACACGCGTGATATGGTAAAGGTGTGTTTGTTCCTGTGTACACACCGTATGATTCGGTAAAAGGAGTGTATGCGCTGTGTATAAATCACGTATGGTATGCGGTAAAGTGTCGTCTGTACCACATGTATACACAGCACTGCTAATGGTGTGTTGTACCTGTGTATATCCGCGGTATACGGAAATGTGTATGTGTGTGTGGTGGTGTGTTGTGGCGTGTTGGTTGTGTGGTTGTCGTGTGTGTGTGTGTGTGTGTGTGTGTGTGTGTGATGTGTGTGTGTGTTGTGTGTGTGTTGTGTGTGTGTGTGTGTGTGTGTGTGTTGTGCTGTGGTGTGTGTGTTTTGATTGGTGTGTGTGGTGTGTGTGTGGGTGATTTGTGCGTGTGTGGGTGTGTGCGTGTGTGTGTGTGTGTGTGTTGTGTGTGTTTGTGTGTGTGTGTGTGGTGTGTGGTGTGGTGTGTGTTGTGTGTGTGTGTGTGTTGTGTGTGTGTGTGTGTTGTGTGCTCTGTGTGTGTGTGTGTGTGTGTGTGTGGTTGTGTTGTGTGTGTGTGTTGTGTGTGTGTGTGTGTGTGGGTGTGATGCTGTGTGTGTGTGTGTGTGTGTGTGTTGTGTTGTGTTTGTGTGGGTGTGTGTGGTGTGTGTTGTGTGGTTGTGTGTGTGTATGTGTGTGGTGTGTGTGCGTGCTGTGTGTGTCGTCGTGTGGTGTGTGTGTGTGTGGTGTGTTGTGTGTGTGTGTGTGTGTGTGCTGTGTGTGTGTGTGTGTGTGTGTGTTGTGTGTGGTGTGTGTGGGTGTGTGTGTGGTGTGTGTGTGTGGTGTGTGTGTTGTTGTTTA